ATATTTCTATTTATTTTATTTTTAAATGGTAATTCCCTTCTTTAATAACTTAATCTTGATCCACTGTGCTTAAGAAGAGTGATATATAGCAGTTTCATTAGGAGAAAATGTATCTTTTTGAACATACAAGAGACTAATATCTAAACATTGTAATTTTAAGTAAATGGAAATGGAGATATTAGGTTGAATATTTTAATTCAAGAAAGTTTCTTTTTTCTTTTTCTTTTTTTTTTTTGGAGAGATTTTTGCTATAGAGTGCATGCGCTCACCAGAAAGAGAGAGAGACAGAGAGGTAGAAAGCAAGAAATCACCCCCCAGGGGGGATGGCCACACCGCAATCCCTTCTCCTCCTCCATTCTCCTCTCGGGATCCTGGGAACGCATGCACACACACCCGGCGTCACTTTAAGCCACCGGGTCCAGGACATGAACCGCGGTTGATTACATGGGAGTCCAGCGGCATAGCCATTACGCTAACTGCTGGTCCCAATTCAAGACAATTTTAAGCGGTATTACTTACCACAGATTTCATTTTACCTGCTCAACCACTTGATAATCCCAGGATATGGTGCTATTATTCTTTGGACACAAAAGTATCCTTTTTGATAATACTTTGTCTTAGAACTCATATTTTCCTTTCCAATGTAAAGTATTGATGTTTTTATTTAAAAAAAAAAAACACAATGTTACTAGATGATGAAGTAAAGAGAGTAACTTCAAGACTTCAATGAATAAGAAACTTAAAAAGAAAAGGATGTAAAATAGACCCATAACTTCATGTATCTTTTAAACTAGGCTAGCACTGAGCATGTGTATCATTTCTCCTTGATTACAGTTGTATTTCATGACAGGGAGAATCAGAAAGATCTTCAAACCATGACACAGTTTACTTTCCTTACAGATCTAATATCATTGTTCCTTTTATCTGAATCTAAGGCTTTACTTTTTCTCTTTGTCTGCAGTCACAGAATGCGTCCCCTAAACAAAGGAAGCAGAGTGTGTACACACCACCGGCCATGAAAGGTACCGTTCAGGAGCGTCTTGAGTTGTTAGGGTTGGTAGGCTGTCTGATCTCAAAAACTATGTGTTTGATCATCAACTAGATCTAACATCAGTTCTATAATGCAAGAGCTTAACGATCAATAAGGTAAGTTTAGTTTCAGGAAGAGTAAAGTAGATTTTGAAGAAGTGATAACTAAGGGGGACCAAGCAGTTAGCGTAATGGCTATGTCGTTGGACTCCCATGTAGTCGACTGCGGTTCGAGCCCTGGACCCGGTGGCTTAAAACTCACGCCAGGTGTGTGCGTGCATGCCCAAGATCCCGAGAGGAGAATGGAGGAGAAGGGATTGCGGCGTGGCCATCCTCCCTGGGGGGTGATTTCTCGCTTTCTGTCTCTCTGTCTCTGTCTGGCGAGCGCATGCGCCCTATAGTGAAAACCTCTCAAAAAAAAAAAAAAAAAAAAAAAGAAGTGATAACTAAGGATCTCAGAGTCTCAGTTTGGAAATTCAATTTCCAAAATGCAATGATTTTTCTTTTACTCTTACTCATGTATTTTCTCTGAAGAAGTTTTTTCCAGAAGTCCTCATTATTTCTGCTGGTGTTGGCAGATGGTTGTCATTTTTATTCCCCTCCCCCCCTTGGCTTAAGCAAAACAGAATAACTTGAAATTTGGAGGAGATTTAATGTAAAGTGTTGCTTCATTACCTTGGATTAGGAACAGCTCTAAGAAATCTAAACAAACAGTTATTTGTTGTATGTGTAACAGCTGTTGAAATAACAACTAAGGATGCTAGCTCAGATTCTGGCATGTTTCCAGAATTTCTCCCCCAAATTGGAACTGCTGAAAAAACTTCTAAGTGTATCAGCATTCTGACCAACATCAGTTCCAGGGAAGGCTTCTTTTATTTCTCACACTAAAATGTTCCTGACACAAGGCAGAATCTGTCCAATCCAGTAGCTTATGTTCCAATCTGGTGCTTGGGACATTGGCCCAGTGGTTCATCATGCAGTCTTCCAGCTCAGTTTCAACTACATGAGAAGCCAGCTGAGTAGCTTCCTCTAGAGTTTGGAGACATGTCTAAAGTGGGAATGAAATTTTCCACTTTGTATTCTCTCTAGTTTGGGGCCTTTTCAGGGAGACGGGATATAAATGGACAAATTAATAGCTGCTTTCAGCAAACTTCCTTCCTGTGTAGCTATGAACACCATGTTTGCTTGTACACAACAAAACTATAGTAAACAATACTATCATCAGCATTGTTGTTTATTGCAAGGTAGTTATTGAGACTATTAGGCATCCCTTTCTGAAGAGAAGGTAAGTGTAATCATTTTAAATAAATTTCCCCATTGTAAGTGATTTCATGCTTTCAAGACACATCAATTTTAGCAAGAATGGGTAGCAATGAATGATATATGTTCATTCATTTTATTTCCTCTCTTCTATTTTTGGTTAGCGTAAGCTAAATAAGGTAACATTATCTTCATGTCCTCAGAGAATAATAATATTATTTTTAAAGAAAAGTCTTAAATTTAAAACTTTAAGGGTCCCTGGTGCTCATTATATTTAGCTCTCAAATATGATAAGAATGTGGAATCTTAACCTTCAGGGAGCTTAGTCCTATTAAACATGTTTACATATAACCTAACACTGTCCAGCCTCTCAAGATGGTCCTTCAATGACAATTTGTGGTCATGAAGCAAAGACTGGAGAAGCAAACCTTTCGAAAAGATACCCTATCCTCATTTATAACCAGTGACTATCTTTTTAAGTCTCCTGATTGTGGAAAAAGAGAAGAACTAAATTATCATGTTTTGTTTGGTCTATAAACCCCTAAGAGTTAAAAATGAATATTTCAAGACATAATTCTACGATGGTAACATACGGTGCATTGTGAGTGCAGTGAGAAGCTTCAGTAATAAGAAAGATGAGTGAACAAAGGAAATGCTATTGACATGCTAAATACAATGATGCAGTTGTGCTGAAATATATAACTCTTCAAATTGTGGTGGAACATGCAATTACTGAGAATAAAAATGTTGACCGGAAGAGCAAAGCATCAACAGATGTGATGGACAGTTCTGAAAATAAAAAGTACTGTGACCAAAAGCCAGCTAGGGCTTCAAGAAGGATCCAGTGAGTAACTGGTTAGTAAAAGAAAAACAAAGAAAAGAAAACTAGACAGACTGCTCTATCTTTATCTCTTAATAGTAGTGAGGGATTCTGGGTATAGAGACCAAAATGACGGTGCCCGTAACATCCCACCTTTGCCATTTCACATTAATAAATAGGACAATTGTCCTATCTCCTGAGCTCATTTATTCCCCCCCCTTTCAGTTATTACGGCACTAATGACTAGAAGTGCAAGGTTATCCCTTGCAATGATGAAGAGTATCATATGAAAGTACAAAGGGGAAGAAATTAAGCAGAGGAAACCATTTTAATTGACATACTGTCAAGACTCACAGGCTGATGGTCACCACATTCCTATGTCCGTTCTCATCACATCTCTTGAACTTCAGGCTCTTATTTTCAAATATCTTTGAGTTTCTTCACTTGAATGTTAATAGGCTTCTCAAATTTAATATGTCCAAAAACAAATGTATTGGCTCATTTTCTGGTTTTCTCCATCTCAATAAATTGTACTTGGCTGTTGTGGACAAACACCTTGAGTAATCCTTGACTCCTCTCTTCTGTCCCATGCATTGTCTACTTCTGACAGCTCTAAAGTCAAAGTGCATCCCTCATCTCACCACTTTCCATCTCTTCCACTGCTATCATCCCCTTGATCGAGCCACCATTTCTTTCTTGCCTCAACTTCTGAAGTAGCCTTTTAAGTGGTCTCACTGCTTCCATGCTTGGTCCACTATGATCTAGACTCCACATAGAAGTCAGAGTAAATCTTCTAAGTCACAAACATGAGCATGACATACCCCTGATCAAAATCCTCAGCAGCTTCCTCTCACATTCAGAATAAAACTGAAAACCTGCCCATGACTTTCAGATGCTGAATGACCTGCACCAAACCACCCTCCTTAACCTCATTTCCTTTT